AACCAAAATACAGTTTCAAAGCAAATTAATTCAAATTCAAAACTTTAAATTCATTTTCAATTTAGTGAAATTTATTTTCAAACCAGTGCATTTAATTTCAATTTATGAACATTCAGATTCAATCTGAGCAATTCAAATTCAATTCCTGTTGGCACAAGATTTATCCCGTACACGTGGCCCGTTCTGATTGATTACCTGTAACAAAAGCTTCTGGGCTTTAAAGGACATCCTGCTGGATATGAGCGGTCAGCAGTTTGGATCCAGTTACACAGAATCAGCAGCCAAAAAACACAAAGATGAGCTTCACAGTGAGGACCGTCTTTATCTGGATCAACTCTGCCTTTCACAAAGGATTTGCTGCTGATTGCTTGTTTGTTTTCATAAAAAGGTTATGGAGTTCTCAAAGGAAACACAAACTCATTCAGGCTTTAGTGACCTTAAATTAAATTAAATTAAATTAAATTAAAACTCGACACTTGATTGGTAAAAAAAAAGAAATCACAGAAAACCTCAGGTGCTCACCTTCTGCGTCTGAGGGCCGAGGGGAGGAGTCAGCGCTCGGCTCCTCCTCCCCCTCCTTCTTCTTGCAGGCACCGGCGTCCAGCTGCTGCAGCATGGTGGGACACAGCTTCTGGAAGCCCGGCCCGTCTACCCGGGTCTGCTCGCTGATGCTGTAGAACGCCAGCGTGTCCGCGGGCAGACACTGCGCACAGAAACACCACCGTCGCCGAGTGTTAGCATTTCACGGCTAACCCGCAGCCGCTGCCGAGCCGAGGCTGCAGGTTCTACTTCCTGTGAGTCATCCCCGACTGAACCGCCTGGGGTTTGAACAGTGTGTGACGTTCTGCACCGTCCTGCTCCAGATCTAACAACAAACACATCTGCAGCCGTCACACCGAGCCAGAGAAATATGTGAAATATTTCTGCTGCCCAAACATGATTTACTCCTCTGACTGGTGAAGGATGAACTCAAGTTCCTTCAAGCTTTTATAAACTTTTTATTTTCTAAGAACTTAACTTCTGATAATATTAAATTGAATCACTTTTATTATTTTGTTTGTTTTGGAAACAGAAAGCAGGATCAAAACCTTTAAAGAAATAAAAAAGAAGACCTCTGATTGGCTGTCCACCTGTGATAAAAACAGGAAGTGCTCCTCAAGTCCAGTAGTGACCCAGTCTGGTACTGGCCCCGAATCTATGGAGGACCAAACCTATCATTATTGGAAATAAATGTATAAATATATAACTGGCGTATTAAAATAAATTATAGGGTCAAAAA